AATTTAAAAATCTTCTGTGGCACATTATGGGAGATGGAAAAATGAGTCAGCCAGTTTTTTTTTTTTTTCAAATGCGAACTGCCACAGTCCAGCTGCAGCAAAATAACCGGGGTGGGGGGTGTGGGAGGGTGGGGGGTGTGACGAATAACTTGTGTACGTTGATACCGCAGGAGTGGAAGCTGTTTATTGTAGGACAACAGAGGTATTTATACATTTTGCCCAGCTTATCTTAATTAGCATAAACTAGATACATCAGTCAACCAATAAGGAATCTCCACACTTAATGGCTCACTTTTGTTACTTCACAAACCACTCCCTCTGGCATTTTGCCAGGCAGCATCCAGACTTGTTACAAACTCTAACATTTCTCTGGCAAAATACCAGGTGTTATTTTGACTTGTTTACAGACTCTAACAGTGAACTTTGCCCACCACTATTTTAGCTACGAACATGATTGACAAACAAGAGAAACGTGTTTTTTATCTTCAAGGGGCTTCTAGTGTTTTCTGGGCAGAGAAATAGGAAGTCTCCTGATGGCACAAAATTGTTCAGTTGAGTGCTGAGTTTCAAACAGCTGCCTGATTTTATTAAATTTTTTTAAAGAGAGAGAGAGAGAGAGAGAGAGAGAATTTTAATATTTTTATTTTTTAGTGTTCGGTGGACACAATATCTTTTTTTGTATGTTGTGCTGAGGATCGAACCTGGGCTGCACGCATGCCAGATGAGCACGCTACCACTTGAGCCACATCCCCAACCCCTGCTGACTAATTTTAAATGCTGGAATTGGGCAGAGAGTTTGATAATTTCTCCAGAGTTGGGCTTTCCAGGAGACAAAAGAGGACATATGGTGCAGCTTGTTGGGATCTGCAAGGGGATCGGCCAGATCCTCAGGCTTCCCAGAGCTCCTGGTGTGGGCAAGGTTTGTTTTCTAGAAGGGCCTCTTGGCACAGGAGTCTGCACTCTTGTATGTAAAGAAGTGGGCTCTTACCAGGTGTGGTGGCCCCGGCTTGTCATCTCAGTGACTCTGGAGGCTGAGACAGGAGGATCACATGTTGGAGGTCAGCCTCAGCAGTTTCACCAGGCTTTAAGTGACTTAATGTGACCCTGTTCAAGAATAAACACCCTAAAG